AACAAAATAATCATCATAGTATTAATATCTTAGTTCTCAACTGCAAAAAACTAGACCTGCCTACCAGCATTTGTTTAAGAAACCCTGATGGATGTTTATAATACTTCCTAAATGAAACATTTCCTCCGCTGAAAAAAGAAGTTGACACTTTCAGTCAACTTTTACAAATGACCAAGGCATTTTAATTTTCTTGTTGCTTATTCGATTGTTTATAACCAGGTCATAACTATTGCCCTAATGTAATATTTAAGAATATCTAATATCAGTAAACCATATATAGTAGAAATAGCCAAATGCATTCATATGGATGCTGGATAACATAAAAAGGGCCATTCCATATGTTTTTGTCTCATGTCGGACTGCCTTACTGTAAAAAGCTGAGAGTAATTAGTTTTCCTTTTACTAGTAATATTACTTGACAGATATTTTCTATTTCTCTGTGTTTTTGAACTAGTTTCTCGTGGAAAAAGAAAATATTTTCTGCTGATTACAGCATGAAACCGGACAGAATGTTTTGGATAAACGATATCTTAAAATTTTCAAACCCTTAAATATATTGATAACTAAAGTCAGTGTGGCGTGCTATAATATATTAGTCCACGAGTTCCGAAAATAGCAGTCTATTTAACATGCAGTCGTAGAAAACAGATCAGATAGACTTAGATGTTTAAGTTTTCTCTTAAAAAAGCATTTTCTTACATTGTAAGATAAAGTAGTAAGTACGTTTTAGTTGAAAAGGTGAGAAGGTTAGCAAAGGAAGTCACTTGTTAAGTTTTCTTTGCAATATATTAACACGCTCGGTGTATTGAATATCTCGCGAATCACCTGCATGTCTCTCAGTGTGGCATTTAGCCAAAAAAGGGTTGTATTAGTGGAGAAATCAACTAAATTGAGCCACTATAAACAGACAAAAAGAATACAAAACAGTTTTCATCACTTTGGTTAATTTGGCGCAAATGAAATACAGAATGCGTATCGGTTCAATTCTTGGATTAAAGAGGCTTTTTGGCGTGAACAGCGGGAAGCGTCACAATGTTGACAGCTATAGATAAACAAAATATTAAAGAAGGTTCCACACAGATTGCTTGAAATGAAAAAAATAAATATAATAAATTAAACGTAAAGTGTGTCTTTAGAGCCAAAAAATGAAGGCAATCTGCTGATAGAGGATTTGTCACTGGTTTTTGCAATATTGACGGAGAGAGAGAGTGTGCAACATTCACCTTTACTAAATCGAAATGAAACAACAAGAATTGGACAGTTTTGTTGTCATGTGAGATGGATCTTCGCAGATGGAGCTAAAAATGATATTCCAAAATAATTATCTTGGAAAAGATAGAGGTGTTTTCTGTCTGCAGGCTGAACGTGACCGGCATCAGTCAAATCCTGTACCCGCAGCGACTGTCATACGGAACTTGTCCTTGAAAATGACAACAGTCATGTTATGTTAAATCTTAATTAAAAAACCATGATAACAATATTTCTTTCAAATTTGTGCGAAAATATAGCGATAATTTTACGTGTTTTTATCGCAAAAAGGTGAACGATCTCCACACATAATTTCCGCTTTTATATTCCAAAGCTTTATCTTTATTTCAAATATTCCTTGAATAAACTAGAACAACGTTTTTTTAGTTCCTTTCTTTACCTTGATAATGCTTAATACTAGTGAGTCCGAGTAACTACAATGACAAATCTTGTTTCTTGATAATTATGCAGGATAATTTTAATTGAAATCCCCTATATTGGTGGCACGGTGCTTCATGTGATGTCCTTATGAACCTTTTTCTTAAACTAGGTAAAAAAAAAAAAGAAAAAAAAACATTCAATCCCCTGAATTGTTGATGAAAAGAATTAGCTTCTCCAATTAGTTTGTGTTAGCTGTTGAGCTGGTGTCTGCGACAAAATTTACATATAGTCAAATTAATTAAAAGGCTGAAGAAAGAATTAAGAGGAATTTAGCATTCATCTTTAGCACACCCGTTCTGCTCGGTTCTTTTGTCAGTATAAATGATGTGTCAAGCGACAACAACCAACAACAATCATAAAGTATTCAGAGTCCTAAATCACTGACCAAAATATAACAAAACTTTCAGTCTTGCGTTTTTTATCAGTTCTCCACACTTGGAGGAATATTCTTAGCCGAGAGAGGCAAGCATTTTTTCCCGCTCCTCAAGATGACTGCAGATCCAATAAGGAGTAAGGTTAAAGCACCAAGCACGCCCACATGCTGATGATTTGATAATTAAAACTTCTGTGCAAAAAACGGTTCGGTCCGGTCGGCTTTGGCCACAACACAAGAATTCTTTGCCTCGTGATCTGTAATTTCCGTTTTTAATGAAAAACCTGCTTTTCACAAGAATGAAAGTTGTTTTGTTAAAAATGATCCGAGACAGAATCTTCTAGATAAAACTAAATTGGAACCGTATACGCGATGTAAAAAGCTCAGTCCGTTTATTCCTTAGAAGAACCTGCCAACATATGAAATGACAACAAAACTAAACGGAAAAATATGCTTCTGGAGTGACAACTTCAATAAACTGACAAGTTTCACTTCGATTCCGTCCGCAGAAGGAAAATTTGAGATGTTTGCCTAACATATGGGACAGTTCATGGCGTTTTTTATCATATTAAACACAAACTTCCGCAAAATCCATAAGATTAACAAAGCAAGGAGAGGTTTTAAATTTTCCGATCCAGAAGAAGGTTATTTTTAAGGCAACAAATTGGATTTATTAAACTCTTGAATCCCAGGTAAAGCTCATTGGTAGGCGTAAGTTTATTTTCAAAACCTGACTTTGACGAATGTTTATTGAAGAAAAGGGAATTTGCATATGGAGGCAGGATTTTCGATCAGGTGAAGTTGTTCTAAAAAAAGTTCTGAGTGCAATTTCATCAGTGGAGAATCTAAAAGTAAACATATCCGACAGACAATTTTGCCATAGCAACCAATGAAATCTTACCTTATGCTAATACTATTGAACGTCACAGGTAGATATCCACTTATCATTATGATTTTCAAACGCCGTTCAGCTAAATACGGCACTTAACAACCTTGAATCCCCTATATTTTATGTTCTTTACGGGAAAGGTGACTTTACGGTTCCGTGATCAAGTGTTTTGAATAGCCTAAACTCAGTTTTCATTCACAGTTTTCAGGCGTTTTGTTTGCATATCCAAATTTGCAATTTACCAAACAATTTTAGGCAGGTGATATATGTTTACCATGTGTCTCAGGAGAGATCCCTAATGTTCGGTGGTAAAATTATTATATTTGCTAATAGGCAAGCGCCAACTATTAATTTAACACCCCATCTTCGAATACTGTGAGCCACAATTTCAGTTTCAGTTTTGGTTTAGTATTGCGCATCAATAATCCGTCTAAATGAAGTGGGGAATATTGATTTTGTTCCTTGGAGCCATTAATATCGTACTTCAGGTTTGTTTTCTATTTTTTTCTCGTATCGAACTTGCTTTTAGCTTTTTTGCCGACAAAAGGGTTAATTGATTTGACAGTTTGTAACTTCACGTTTTGTTTTGCTCGTAGTGTTTCTTCACCGCTGCTAAAGCGTCTGTAAACTGTGAGTATTTCAATGAAATAAGACCGTTGGGGACAAGCTTAAAGCTAAGAGTTGTCGCTTGATCTATTGTGAAAGAGTGATGTACCCATATGCGCGACTTGAATTGGAAAATGTTCATTACTTAAATTAATATGCCTACTGTTTTTAAGGCCACTCAAATTTTATGTTTAATTCTTTAAAAATCACAGGAACATTAAGTTTCCTGTCCAGGTTACATTTGCCATGATAATGTATCGAGAATGAAGGAACTCATGGCCCTCAGGTTATCGTTGTTATCGGTCCCGTTTATTAAAAAAAGGAAACAAACTCAACATAGTGCTAAGAAACTGCAAAATAGTAATTGAAATGAAACTTGAAATGTCTGAATATCATGATAATAATTGGTTTTTAGGTTCCCGAAAAGTTTATGAGCCATTGGTCACCATTTCTGGTAGTAAAATCTATCAAACGTTCCTTCAAGTTGGCTCTCGAACTTGATTAGAAATAAGCACAATGGCACATGACTACGAAATTTCACCATCTACTCCCATATTTAAAAATGAAGAGAGAACACTATATATCCATTACAAGTCATGATCGTCCCTTTCAGTATTGCCAACAAATGACCCCTAACTTCTTGAACAATCCCGCCTTAGTGGGAAACAAAGATATTTCCGGAAAATTCAAGTCGCAAAACTGGCTACAATTATGAGTAAAACTGAATGGATGTCACCATTTGGTAGTTAAAATGTTAAAAACGCGAACCTTAAAAGAGGCTTTATTGGTCTTCACATAACCGGGATTTCTTTAGAAAATATGCTTTATCGTATTCAAAATCCAGCATGCGAATTGAATTAGTGTAGTGAATTCACCCGTGACATGAAACTAAAGATTATAAAACTCGTTATATTTTCACGATTGTCTTTTATGAACATGCACAAATGAGTAATCGAGTAAATCGGGCACTCTTAATGGAAACTTGCCAAAGTGAAAATTGTACAATTTTTTTAGGCAAAAGCTATAATATGATTTTTCCATTATGCACGACCAGTCACCAAAAAGTTATCGTCAGCGTCGGTGAAAGTGGTGGATTATTTTAGTATAGCCACCCAACGTTGTTCAGTTTCATTCTGGTTGTTCTGGCTGACTGTTTATGAGTGTTTTGTATGTACTCCTATAAGTTAACTGAAGATAGACTGAAAAGTGAGGTGAAGACAGTCAACCCTTACTTCAAAACGCTATTCGTTCTCTGTTGTATTTAAAGTCAAGTCCTAGATGTATCCCACTGAATATCGAGATAAATCTCAGCTCTTTTGTTATCTTCGTCTGTTCTACAACTGGGACTTGAATTTTAGAATAATATAAGTTCATTTTCTTCTCTTCAAGAAGGAGATAGCAGTGATCTAACCAAAAATTGTTTTTTGTATTTTCTTTCTAGCCGGTAATCTCATAATAGGAAACGGCGAAGAACTGAAGATCAACACGACTGCACCATCCATCGTTAAGAACAACTGTTCCAGTTGCAATTACAACGCATCACATGAAAATAGATCTTCCTCAAGCTCGCATGGTGAACATCTCGCTGCCGTGATTAGGTTCAGTGGTAACATTGAGTTCAGAAACGGTTCAACAGTCCAAGTATTTGGAAAGTATGGTCTGAGTATAACAAGTCAGAATGGACACATCTTAATAGAAACTAATATAAACATGACGTGTACAGAGAAGGTGCTAGATGAAACATGTCTCGGTGGGTTCACACAGTCATCAGTAGGGGTAAAGGATAGAAAAGATGTACCCCTATATAATGGTAAGGGAACCTGCTTTTAGTTGCCTTTCTCACATTTTATAGACATAGCAAGGTGAGCACAAGGATTAATAAGTATAATTAAGAACAGTAAATTGAGTCTCTTCGGAAGGAAATTCATAACTCCACCGTAGGGCAAGACTGGTTTCCTTGGGTACTTGATTATGATGCTTGATTATGTCCTAAGTATGATTTAATTTAATGATTTATAACCTCTTGAAATGCCAAAAGGAGCATTTTGCCGCTAAAAACAAACGTTGGCTCGCACTCAGCGTGTCAGGCGTGTGAGGTAATACCAGCTGTGAGCGATTTATTGCCACAATTTGCTTAATTCAACTGGATTCTGATTTATGAGGTTGCTGAGCTGTAGCTGAGCTCCATGATAGAACCCGAAGTGCGCTGCCACCAACCAGGATCTTTACATCCAGTTTATGAACACATCGTTCAGGGAAATACTGAGGCGGTCGTTTATAACTGATATTTATTCAGTCCGTAAGCAAAGCTTTGTCAGATTCGAGCTACAGCCAGTAGACTGACTGATAAAGAACAATTCACTTTCCTTGCGTAAGATTACCAATGCTTCGCACTTTTACAGCCTAAGGCTCATTTCACCTTCCAAAGGCCATGTTCAAGGAACAGATGAAAACATTTCTTTATGATCACAAAGCTATCATGACTCCTGGGTTCAAACCATTCACTGAATTTTTTTTATAACTGATTAAATTCGCGTAATTTTAAGAAACAGATGTGAGTCGCGTCCTTAAAAAACTGGTGGTCAATAACTAGAGAAGGACAACTTAATAGAGGGTTTACTGCATAGAGTATTACTCCACCGAACAAGATGCTAGTCCACAGTGACAGTAAATGGGCAGTATTGTACCGTGAGGTGCTCCATTTTACAACTGGGTAGTGACGAAGAGAGTCTAAAGTCCGACAAAATACCAGTCTCTACGATGAGATTTCTTGATTTTAGTAATTAAAGCCTTTTAAGCAAGGGATTTTTTGTTGATTTCCAATTTCTTTTCAGGTCTTGGTCCTGGTGGTTTTATAAAAGGCCAAGGAAATTACCCGTGGGAGGTCTGGTGCATACCTGGTTCTAGTCATGGTGGAATAGCTCAGGCTCAGGATGTTACAAAATCACACCCAGGTTCAGAATATGATCAACAAGACAAAGGATCATTAATAGGAGGAAGCGGAGGTGAGATAAATTATTCACTCACTTGCATGGATCAAACTCAACAGGCAGCTTTGGGGCTCTGATCAAAGTACTAATGAGTGCTAGAATGGAATGAAAATAGGATGATAGAAAAAAACACACTACAACCATCGGCTGTACCTTACGGCCTACTCATCACTGCGACAAATCAGGTCCATATAACTGTGTTTTCAGCTACTTCTTCACTTCAGTGTTTGCAATTATGATTGTAAGTAAAAACATTATGACTAAAAAAATCAACATCAAAAACCGGGAGTTATATAAATGAATTTTGAAAACCTCTTTACAGATAGCCAAAAAATGTTCGGTATTAGCTGGTATTGTAGTTGACGGTTTCGATGACTGTTAGCCATCTTTTTCAAAACTGTAGGAGTGTCACAGCTCTAAATGGATCCCTAGCTGTAAAGACAAAAGTATCATTTCACCAAGCCTTTGCATAAAGTGCCCAACTAACTCATCGACAAAGCAAAAAATAGAGAGAATACGCAGAAAATAACCCATGTTTAAGGAAAGAAGCTAAGTTTAGCTGATCGATTCCAAAGCGACACCAAACAACAAATCAATACTTGCGCTTAACGAGAGTTGAGAGAGTATACATCAAAGAAACGAACTGCAGGCAGAAAGATAGTTTGTAAATCTAATCCCTAATTCGGAGACGATAAGCCTGTCGGAAAACAATCTGACGCGAAAAAAAAAAAAAACATTGGGTCGTCAAGCTACCCAAAATACATGAACAAAATATACGTTGAACCAATGATACAGTTTTGTGTTAAGTTTTTGATAATTATATCTGTCCTGAGTAGCGAAAGATTAAAATCGTTCCTAATAAAATGCCTATTTAAATATTAAACTTGTTTTGTATTTTTGCTGTTAATCCTAACCTCCTTAAACCTCAGGTTCGTGTCTTTATTCGACGGGAAGTGTTGCTGGTGGAGGAGCCATTGAAATAAAAGCAGAAAAAGGATGCATAATCATAAGTATTAACCATTATCAAAGTTCTTGTAGGGTATTTATTTAATCTACCAACAACGTAGAACCCTAAATGGCTAAAAAGAGGTCAGGAAAAAAAGACGTTTGATGTCAACTGATACAGGAGCAAGAACAGTGTAAGACTGAAAACACCCGACTTCTCACAATATTACCGTCTCTGCAGTGAATGTTTTAATTGAGTAAATTGTTTGTAACTCATTTTCCCGATTTCTATGCAACACTGCTAAATTCTTACCAATCTGTTACTAGCAGAAACTGCTTTTTATACGTCCTACCATACGGTAGCTATCGCAGCCTTAAAACAGTATTTTGAGGATTCTTTCTTACCCGTCAAATGACCCAGCCTGAATTTCAGCCGGCCTTGTTCGTCTCTCTCTGGGGTTTTCGACTCGAGGAGACGGCTGAAATCCAGGATATAAATGACCCAATATTACGTGTGGTTACACGGGACACTTTTACCTTGGTAAAATACCATTGGAAATACCATAAGAAATATCCACGGACACGTCAAAAAGAAGAATGAAACCGCCCATGTAATTAAACGTGGTAAATAGATAGCCAAGGGTGTTTCGATACCCATGGCAAGAAAGCTAATCAGGCTAAGACACTAAAGGATAGGATTCTTTGACTTTGATAAGATTCTTTAGCACTGTTTCGAGAAAGATCGACTTTGACAGGAAAAGTTTAACGTTAAGATGAAAGTCAAACAGGGAAATTTTAAGGCAAGATTTCAGCTGGTTTGTCAGTGGGCATGATGTAGGAGAGATAATTACCACTGAAAAATATGTTCTATTCCTGACAGATATTTGAAATGGACTGAATTGTAAATGAATTTAAATGGAATCTAAGGCCTAGATTTAAGAAAAATGGTTTTATTATTGCTTCGCAACGTTATTAGGACTAAGATACCAGATGAAATCAGCATGAAATTGTGCTTACATTAAAGGTAAATTTTCAACAAATCATTAAATCCTGCTACAATCGACTGCCATTATTACTGCAATAGCGCAAATGAAGCCGTAAGAGCGGCTTTTTATATACAATTAATTCATGTCTACTCACATGTTACCACATGACTGTAAACTAAACTCACGTTAGGAATACTGTACATTGCTTCGATGACAAATTTTATTTTAATACTTTCCAGATGCAATTATCAAAGCTTCAGCTCAGACAGAAACAGACAATTCCAAAATATGTACTGGTGGAGCTGGTGGACTTATTCGCCTTAAAGCTCGTCACGTAATTGATATTTTAATGCATAATTTATAGTAATTCGATATTTGTTTTTTGGCTTGTTTTCCTTTTGACAGAGTGGTTCCTAAGAGCAACGACTCAGAACATACAACAGCCTGCAAATTTGGCACTTAACGATTTTTTAATCGCTGCTATGTCTCAGTCTAGCTGTAACTTAAGAACTGCATACTTTGCAGTTACCGTAAATTCTCACGTATACACTGCACTTATCAATAAGCCGCACCTCCCCCCAACTATACTATAAATAACACTCGATCTTTACAGAAGCTTATTCCAGATACTAGTAGGACCGAGTAGAGATCCTCTTGTAAGACCGTTCAATCTAATCTCAGATAATGCTCTTCTCTTATGAAATGCAAAAGGTGTTATAATTATGTTAGAAGAGGAACTATTTGCAACTAAGGAAATCCAATGATTCACCCTTTGTCTTTATAAAAATAATCATAGTATTCTAAAAATGGATTTATACAGCCTCGTTCACAGGGAAATGCCAAGGTTGAAGAGTCATGGTGCATTTTTATGGAATTCTAAATCCGGATTTTGCAATCCAAAATACTGATGTCTCTTCGTTTTAGCTCGATTACCAGCCGCTGTTCGGGAAACGAGCCCGCGCTCGACCGAGAGAGCGAGCGGAAATCGAGCCTACTTTCTTTTGGGCACTTAAGAATCGGGCAACATTTCGGTATTTAAACTTTGTTTCGTCGAATTCTATCTCTATTCTGATCCTGATTTTCATTGATTTGGTTTTTTAGGTTGATCTGAGGGAGCAAGGAAAACTTATTGTTGATGGAGGAAATGAAAAAGGAAGATCAGGGCCGGCTTTCAGTTTGGGAGGTGGAGCAGGTGGAGTCATACAAATAATATCACCTTCTGGTCGCCTGCCTCTCAATGCTTTATCTTTAAAACGAGGTAAAGAATCTGGGTCGTGCAAAGAGGCAGAACATGGATATTATCTTGTAGCAGGTAATTTCCTCTGGTATACTATCCAGAAATATGTGAAAACCACTGACCTCAACTCTAAAAACAGGGGGCAGTGATCGAGGGGAAAGAGATCTAAAATGTCAGAGTTTGACCAGTCAATAAAATAATGTATATAAAAGCACTGGCATAGAGATCTGTGCTGTTAGAGTTCGACCAATCAATAAAACTCGAAAGCGACATCAATTACTGGTATCGGGATCTGACCTGCCTGAGCTTGATCAATCAATGAAAATCGAAAACGTTATATAAAGTAAATATCAAGAATTGAACAATTTCATTGACTGGTAAAACTCTAACAGCTCAATTCTTGATATTTACTTTATTTATCGCTTTCGATGTTCATTGATTGGTCAAACTCTGGCAGGTCAGATCCCGATATCGAGGGCGATTTCATTTCGACTCATTGCAACCAAATATTTCACAGATATGACTTGTCTTACCCGGGCTAAGATTCCTAGCGCCAAATGTTTCCCAAGGACGTGATAGGCAAAGAAATATGTTTTCATGACAAGAAAATGTATTATATTTCCTGCCGATCCTCGATTATTGCTACTTTGGCACAGGTCTAGTTAGGGAAGAGCCACTAGATTATGTTCATGCCGTTGCGGAGCTTTCCATAAGAATGATAATTTAATCGAGTGGAAGAAATTTTGATAGCCATTTGTGTAGAATGTCTATCGAAATGAAAATATGAATGAAACGTAATTGGTCGATATATTATTTCATGTCAGATCATTCCAAAGCGAACAAGGAGATATTTCCAGATACGAAACCATATAACTGGAGTTCAAATTCGTCTTTATCAAGTCCACCTTGCTTCAGCGTCACACCCACACATCAAAGTAAGTATCAATGATTCAATTCGATGTAAATCCAAATTAAGCTATAAAAATGGTGACGTCCTTTGACTGTTTAAAGTAACTCTTAAGCGAAGCTGTTACACGTAATTGCAATCGTTTTCCCGTTTGTGGTCAGCGGTCGTCATAAATGGCGGTCAAAAATTTTGTAGCTCCTTGTTTTGTCTTTTGTTTTCATCATAACATCATGACAACAGGCACTCCTTCTTAAGATACAACCGGCTGTACATAGGGACCAAGTTTGCGAAACACATTTTCTACAACTCTCGAAAACTACTACGCCTTTCTTCGACATCTGAATGATCAACGCCAAAAGAAATTTAGCCTTCGTAGCATGGCGGTTTTGTCGGGCACACTGCTGAGCGGCGAAGCCGCGCGAAAAACAATCTCCTCGCAGTTTCACTGCCCCCACCCTGGCTGCCGCTCAGAAGTGCCCGACAAAACCGCCACACTCCGCGGGCGAAATGGAATTCAATATGGCGTACGGCTGCTTGGACGTACCTTATGTTACACTTTCCTTTTGCTGTGCGGAAATGTAATGGTAAACCCGAGCCCTCGTGACAAGTCACAAATTTCTTCATCTGGCAGGTTTGCTCGCGGCCTCTGTTATCGAGCCGTTTCCCGGAACGATCAAAGTTTATGTTGTGAAGAGTGTGGTCGGTGATTTCACCTACATTGGCAATCCCCGGTCACTACACCGCCTGTTAGCCTTACTTCTAGTGGTGCTGCCTGGAATTGTTCATCCTGTGACTGTCCAAACTATTTTACAATATATTCGTACCGTTGTGTTGATTAGTTTAATATGTTTGACTTTTTGTCTGACACAAGCACCACTGCCACATAGGTGTTGCACGTGACTACATTTGTGTTAGAGAATACGAGCTTGAAACTGAGTGTAAAATTTTATGGGGTCAAAGTCCGCATTTACGGCTACAAAAGCTTATATGTTTGCGCTTTTTACCACCCCCACGAAGGAAATGAGTCGATTATGAATAACTTTGTTTCTTCCGTTGATAGAGGAGTTCACGCTCATAGTTGCATCATGGATTTGTATTGGAATTCAAAGCCAGCTATTTCTTCCTGAATTCATATATTTGCCATGTTTTCTTTGAAAAGAGTAACTTACGAATTGAAAGAAACAGTACACTAAATCTGGAGTGCAAAGAAGTCGGCGATCAATTTTAATAAAACCTCAATTTTCCAAACATTTTCTGTAATTATGATACTGCCGAATTACCGATAATGTACGGAGAAATCAAGGTGAACTGATCAAGATAAGACAAGACATTTGTTATCATAATATTGGCTGTACAATTTCTTGGCACGCAGTTAGCCAAAAACGCCTTTAATATTTCAAAGAGCACACTGTTTAATTTTCCTGTAAATGTTTTTTTTGACACCTCTCTCATTCTACCTGGTATCTCATTCCATAATTTAGCGCCAAAAATTGGGACGGCTTGTCTTAGTTTTCAAAGATTAAATTTTTTGATGTACATATCATTTTCGAGGATGATCTTGTGTAATATGTATGAATAGATGATGTCTGTGTGAACAAATTAACGATTGTTGTGGGTGCAGTGTTAATATGAATATCATGCATTAGGTAAGATACGGACTTAAAATAGAGAAAGCTAATTGGCAGGATATTTGCATCAATAAAAAGAGGAATGGCATGAACATTCCTGTTGGCAAAAAATATGAAACGGAGAACTTTTTTCTGAAGCAATAAGAGTTTTGTTAAATGTGTTTTTGACGCCTGCCCCTAAACTATCAAACCATAGGTTAAATAATTATAAAGCAAGATTAACGGACGGCAAATATTTAGCGAACAGAGTGCCTCAATTTAGCGATTAAACCAACCGTCTTACTCAGTTTAGTAGCTACACTGTCGATGTGTATTTTCCACCAGAGATTTTTGTCAATCAAAATGCCTAAATATTTAACATAATTTTTCATGTCTAAACTAGCGTATCGATTGGTATCAGTATCGAAAAACTTAAGTTGGGGAAGGTAGTTAACAGACTTCTGGTAAGGATGAAAAAGAACAAAATTGTTTTTTTTTTTCGATATTAAGGGACCTGCCAAAGATACAACTTTTCAAGTTCAGAATTTACTGTTGCCTCAAGTGACCTTAGATTCCTGTTAGCATACAGTATGTTAGTATCATCAGCAAAGAGGTAGAAGTTAAATGTATCAGAGCAAGTATGAATATCATTAATATATAAAAGGGAAAGGAACGGACCTATTACAGACCCTTGTGGAACACAATTAGATATTAGAGCTGTATCAGATATTTCGTTGTTAATTTCTAATGTTTGTGATCTGATATGTTGCATGGAAACATCCTTAACTCCCATTGACTGAAACAACTGTAAACATAGTTTAGCCGTCGACTCCGAGTTCTCCGCGAAAGTACAAAGTAGGCAAGCCAAAGATTTTGATGTTATACTGATAACTGTAAGCCTGCATTTCATCAATAGCAAGTCGTAATTCCTTGCATCTGTGGTCTAATCCATTCCCCCGTAGCTGTTCCATGATTACATCGTATTGACTACTTATAAAGTCAACAGACTATCACTTTCTTTGCCCAGGTGAAGGTGGAGACGATGAGGCGCCATCTTGCGATTTGCCAGTTACAAGCTTAGAAAGCTTCTCAAGCTTCTCTTTGGTCGCTTGTAAATCGGTTCTCAACTTTTCTTTTTCTTTTATAAGTTTATACATAGTTTTCTTCCGCTTCGCTTTTAAAGAATTTAGGTAATAGAAATTTAACAGGGATTTCCACCGAACTAGAGCTTAAAATAGCGCGACCTACTCGTTCTAAGGGCATGCGCATAGTGTGATCAAGGGCTTCTTTGCACTCCAGATTTAGTGTATTGCTTATTTGAACTCGTAAGTTACTCTTTTCAAAGAGAACATGGCAAATATATGAATTCAGGAAGTATTAGCTGGCTTTGAATTCCAATACCAATTTTTGAATTTCCCGCCATCTTGTCCTGATTACCCATGATGCAACTATGAGCGTGAACTCCTCTGTAAGGCTTGCAATCTCCAACAGTCTATGCAACTATGAGCGTGAACTCCTCTATAAGGCTTGCAATCTCCAACAGTCGAATATTTGGATTGCTGGTGATATTAACCTGCCAGGATATGGCTGGAAATCTAATTGCCTGAAACCCA